ATTATAGTTTTGCAGCAAAAAAATAACCTACAGCTACACGGCTTCGACATTGCCATCTTTTGAAAGAAACCTCTTCCAAAACCAATGTTGTTTGAAGAGATCTTCCTCAACTCCTACGCCATCTTTCTTTTCTCTCTCGGGCAAAATTTTTTAAATTGAGAGGCACATTCCCTGTGTCAAGGCAACAAATGGCATGAATATCCAATTGAGAATATAAAGGAGCAGCAAAATGGTTGGATTTATGATTACGGATATGAGCAAAGATATGCTCGTCTCCCAGCATGAGCCTAATACTATAATCTCTTTGGTGTACGATTCTTCAGTCCACTCAGAAGGCCCCGGGAACATTGAAAAACAACCTATGAGGGGGATGGCAAATGCCATGCCAACATAGGAACTCTTTTTGGCATAGTTGAAAGATCTGGTCTCCTACAAAAAGGAAGAGACACAGCAAGGAAACCTGGAAAAATCCTAGAAAAGTGATATCAAGTTACATATGCTATATTTCAGTTAATAAAAATTAATCTATATAAAGAAAACCTAAATAAGAAAGAAATGAAGAAGTACCTGTGCTAAAATCATGCCTAAGCATGCTGAGACTAGAGTCCTCCGTCGACCGAAAAAGCTGTAACTCGGATAAGTGAGTCCACTAACTCAAGCTCGAACAAATCCGACAATGAGCGGAGCGACGAAGGAGGCATTATAGGTGTATCTAGCTGACTGCAAACGTAATGAGCCAAAGAATAGTATTGAGTCTAAGCCCAACACTTGTTGGAAAATTTGAGCCACTATGTTAAGCAATAAAATGGGCAAGTGTGACAGTTTCTTCCTTTTCCTCTTGACTTCATTTTCCATCATGCCTGCCAACATCTATAACTTTGCTTCTGCTCCACATTTTCTCAGCATCTTAAGGGACGCTTTTGCCTCCTCCATACGCCATTTCTTAATGAGAAACCTCGGGGTCTCACTAAGAAAGAAAGACAGTACAAGAAGCGAGAAAGCCAAAAATCCACTACTGGCAAAGGATCATCTCCAACCATAACAAAAGTTGTGAGATGCTGCCATGTTTAGTGCTTTAGCGCTAGTACTTCCCCATAGAACCATGGAGCTATAAGCAAGGGAAATCCATGTAGGTGCCTTTCCAACATTGATCTCACTCAATACAATGGGAAACACCTGCAAGATTATAACTTCGTTAAGTGTGACATGCAATATGAAGCACAAAAGATTTGAAACTATATATTCTGATATTTTGTATTTTACAACCTAACAAATGCTAATAATGGTTAGTTGGATAATACAAACCTTGAACACTTATATTTCCAGCAACTAATTTGGCACAAGCCAAATGAGAAAAGATTAAACCTATATTAACTCTTCTTCCACGACCAGGGCATAGATATATTTCAAAGTAAATAAATCTTATTATGAATATTATATTAAGAGAATTTATGTGCATACTAGAGAGATTAATGTTACTTGATAAGTTTTTTTCACAACAATAAAATAAATATGAGAATTTAGTTCTTAAAGAAGTTTGAGAATTTAGTTCTTAAAGAAGTTAACAAATGAGTCATGTTCAAGTTATGTGCCTCTTATTCCATCTGAAAGCACCACTAGGGTAAGGTATTATTTTTGCGTAAATTATTTTAGTAAAATTGATCAATATAAAGAATAGTTGAATAAGAAAGAAATGAAGAAGTACATGTGCTAAAATCATGCCTAAACATGCCGAGACTAGTGTCCTCCTTCGGTCGAAGAAGCTGTAACTCAGATAAGTGAGTCCAGCAACTCAAGCTTGAACAACTCCGACAATGAGCGGAGCGGCGAAGGAGGAATTATAGGTGTATCTAGCCGACTTCCTGGAAAATTTGAGCCACTATGTTAAGCAATAAAATGGGCGGGTGTGAAAGTTTCTTCCTTTTCCTCTTCCCTTCATTTTCCATCATGCCTGCCAACATCCAATGCTCTACTTCTGCTCCACATTTCCTCAAAATCTTAAGGGACGCTTTTGCCTCCTCCACATGCCCTTTCTTAATGAGAAACCTCGGCGTCTCACTAAGAAAGAAGGACAGTAAAAGAAGTGACGACACCAAAAACCCACAACTGGCAAAGGACCATCTCCAACCATAACGGAAGTTGTGAGATGCTGCCATGTTTACTGCTTTCGTGCTAGTACTTCCCCATAGCACCATGGAGCTATAAGCAAGGGAAATCCACTTTGGTGGCTTTCCAACATTGATCTCACTCAATATGATGGGAATCACATGCAAGATTGTAACTTGTTTAAGTGTGACATGCAATATGAAGCACAAATGATTTAAAATTATATATTCTGATATTTCATATTTCACAACATAGCAAATGCTAATAATGATTAGTTGGATAATACTAGCCTTGAACACTCATATTCCAGCAATTAATTTGGCACAAGCCAAAGGAAAAATGATTAAACCTACATTAACTTATCATCCACGACCAGAGCATGGATATATTTCAAAGCAAATAAATTTTATTACGAATATTATATTAAGAGAATTGTATGCATATTAGAGAGATTAATGTTAGTTGATGAGTTTTTTTTACAACAATAAAATAAGTATGAGATTTTAATCCTTAATGAAATTAACAAATGAGTCATGTGCATGTTATGTGTATCTTTTTCCATCTGAAAGCACTACTAGGGTGAGGTATTATTTTTGCGTAAATTTTTTAGTAAAATTGA